TCTGGCTCAGGCAGTAGCCATTCTTCAGAAGCACTGTCGTATCATCAAAAATGTCCAGGTTCTCTACAGTGAGCAGGTGAGTGGTGGCTGATTTGTTTACTGAAATAGCATCCCTAGTCAGTGAGTCACCTCCAGTGACGGCACTTTAGGAGAGGCTGACTATCAGGGATTGCTGTGTTCACATGGGAGAATCTCTAGCACTAGTCAGTTATAAAGTTTTGTTTTTTTGAGAGAGAGAGATTTTTGCTATAGGGCGCGTGTGCTTACCAGAGAGACAGAAAGAAAGCGAGAAATCTGCCCCGCCCCCAGGGGTGGCCACGTGCAATCCCTTCTCCATTCTCCTCTCGGGATTTTGGGCATGCTGCACACGGCTTGAGTTTTAAGCCTCTGGGACTCAAACTGCGGTCAACTACGTGGGAATCCAGCAACATAACCATTACACCATGTGTTGGTCCCATAAAGTACATTTTCTTTTATTCTGAAACTTTCAGTCTTGATTGTTTAGTTCTGCCAAGTTTTAAAGAGCAATAATAACCGGATTTGGTTTTTGTCTGTGCTTGACTTACCTACTGGCTTTTAGACAGGGTCTTTGCCTCTCAGGAGGTAAAGAGTCTTGATCTCTGAGGAAGTCACCTCAAGGGACTGTCTCTGGTTTTCTAGGGTACTTGCCTTCCATTTTCTTATTTAAAATTGTCTTTTCTGGTTTTATGTTTATTGCAGTGCACATCTCTAGCTACCGGAGCATACCAGGTTTAAAAGAAAACAGATATAGCTCACACCTTTATCTTTCTCAAAGAGTAATCTCCCCTCCACTGAACTGTCTGAAACCTGCTGTTATATGACACAGACCATATGCTGCCATGTGGAACAGCTTTTGTGGTAGCTTGAGGCTGTGTGTCACAAGTCTCAGGGAATAGTTTTACACACACAGAGGCTAAAGAATGTCTCTGATGGCTTCTAATTTTTTTTTTTAATTTTTAAAAATTTATTACTACTCTTTATTCAAGATAGCATGTGCACATTTGCACACAAGAGAGAGGCATTCTCAACAGTGTCCAGTCACATCACAGTTCCTTCTGTCCGGCTTATCAGGAACTTGGGCACATGCATGGTTGGCTGCATGTTTCAGGCCAACCAGGCCAGGGGTCCCAGCCTATCACCTATGTGACATCCAGCAATGAGGTTCAGTATGCTACTAACTGCCAGCAAGCCTGGGCCCTGGTGGTGGTTTTGAGAACACCACCAGGGTTTGATGATTTCAATTTCATTTGTTCCAACTAGTTTCAATTCCTAAAACAAATGACAGCTTACTTTTGACATGAAGAATGTTATAGATCGGAAAGATTTCTATGAGTCTACCTAGTTTGGCTTATAGCAGAGTCAGAACTAGACTATTACCTGTACCCAGAGATTATATTCCTTGGCACTGTACCCCTTTGCCACTTTAGTGAGGCCCCATGTGAGGAACCTTTCTGAGAGAGAGAATACTTAGTCCCCAAGGAAATGCTTGAATATTCATGTGGTACCTGCCACAGAACAGGGGTCTTGGAGGAGTGGGCAGCAATTCCTTGAATCATAGTGCCAAAATAGTTTCTCATTTGTAAAGTGAAGGATGGATGGTGCCTTTTCCTCTGTTTTAAAGTTGTGGGATTTTTAGAGGTTTTTACCTTAGGTCACATGCACCCGTGGGGGTTAAGGGTAGGTACAGAGACAGTGAGAAATCATCACCAGGGGTTTGAGATGATGACCACACACAACTCATTTTCCTCCAGGGATCTCAGGCACACATGCACACACTCCCAGTACTCTGGGATGTTTTCAAGCCATCAGGTCCAAGAATCGAACTGCAGTTGGCCATGTGGGAGTCCAGTGACATAACCACTATGCCATTTCCTGGCTTCTCTCTCCTTTGTTTTATTATTGCTAACCTAACCTGACTTTTTTTTTTTTTTTTGAGAGGTTTTTGTGAGAGGGTGTGTGCACTCGCCAGAGAGACAGAGACAGAGAGACAGAAAGCGAGAAATCACCCCCCAGGGGGGATGGCCACGCCACAATCCCTTCTCCATTCTCCTCTCAGGATCTTGGGCACGCATGCACACGCGCCCGGCGTGGGTTTTAAGCCACTGGGTCCGGGACACAAACCGTGGTCAATTACGTGGGAGTCCAGCGACATAGCCATTACACTAACTGCTGGTCCCACCTAACCTGACTTTTAATTCAGTGTTAAACATGAGGGATGGGCCAGCCAGTGGTGTGGTGGTTTAGGCAACTGAATCCCATATGGTAGACAGTGTGGTTTGAGTCCTGGACCTCGTAGTTTGAAAAACACAGTGAGCAGGCCTGGCAGGTGGCGTGGTGGTTAAGGTGTTGGACTTCCACATGGCTGACCATGGTTTGAGTTCCAGACCTGGCAGCTTTCTTTTTCACTTTCTCGCTCTGTCTCCCTCTAGTCAAATTGAAAGATAAATAATAATAACAAATAGGGGCCAGCAGGTAGTGTGGTGGTTAAGGTGCTAGGCATTACCACATAGCTGATCACAGTTTGAGTCTCGGACCTCTCTCTCTCTCTCTCTCTCTCTCTGTGTGTGTGTGTGTGTGTGTGTGTCTGGTCAAATTAAAATAAATGAATGAATAAATAAAATTAAAATAAATAATTCTTAAAAATAATGATACTAACAAATAAAATTAAATAAATAAGTCTTTGAAAGAAAAACACAGTGAGCGTGTGTGCATGTATGCCTAAAATCCTAAAAGGAATGAGAAAGGGAAGAAGAGAGATTGCAGCATGACCATCCCCCATGGAGGGTGCTTTCTCTCTCTCTCTTTCTCTATCTCTCTACAGTGAGTACATGAAGCCTCTGGCAAATTAAGGGGGAAAAAAATGAAAGAATTACCTCATGACAAGTGAGGTAATCAAAATGAGTGTGCTTTGTTGGCTTATAGCCATACACATTTAGCTAAGTCAGAGTTAGGTACCTCAAGATTGGATACATTTGAAAATAGACTTTTAAACTTTTTTAACCAATTTGTAAAAAATAATTTATTTTATTTTGCCACAGGGTACACACATTCACCAGAGAGAAGGGGGGACAGTGGATCCTGTAGAGGATGGTCATACTGTGATCCCTTCTCTTTCATTTCTCCCTCCTATTGAAATTTTTTAACATGCACAGATACCCAGCATGTCTTTCAAGCCACTGGGTATGGAACTCAAACCACATTTTTTTTTTTTTTTTGGAGAGGTTTTTGCTATAGGGCATGTGCGCTCGCCAGAAGACAGAGGCAGAGAGACAGAAAGCGAGAAATCACCCCTCACAGGGGAAGGCCACGCCGCAATCCCTTCTCCTCCATTCTCCTCTCGGGATCCTGGGCACACATGCATATACGCCCGGCATGAGTTTTAAGCCCCTGAGTCTGGGACTCGAACCACGGTCGACTACATAGGAGTCCAGCGACATAGCCATTACGCTAACTGCTGGTCCCGGTATTATTTCTTATATCACTACCTTTTGTTTCCTGTCTTTCCAGTTCTTATGTTCAAAGAGTAATGTTCAAATTAATTTTCTTCAATATCTTCTAAGCAACTATAACAAGTTAGAAAACGTGGGTTTTTGAGTTCAGGTCTTGATTCAGATCTCTGCTCTTCCCATTTCTTGGTTATGTGACTTGTGGCAGTAACTAGTCTGGTTCTCCTTCTATAAGATAGATATAGTTTGCTGGTGATAGATTAATCTTGATGAGTTTCAAGATGGTCTTTCAGCTCAGATGTGATACTTCTTAAATGCAGGACCTGTCCTGAGACCATCAGGTGGGGTGGTAGTTAAGATGCTTGTTCCCACATAGTCATGCTTCTAGTCCTGGACCAAGCAGCTTGAAAAATATGCTGGGAGTGCATGTGTGCCCAAAATCTTTAGAGAAGAATGAAGGAGAAGAGATTACAGTGTGGCCATCCCCCCAGGGAGTGATTTCTCACTTTCTCTCTCTTTCTTTATCTTTCTCCAGCCAGCACACACACCCCATAGCAAAAACCTAAAACAGAAAGTAAGAGTGAGTCCTGTTCTTTTCATGTGCCTGGTTTCTTCCCTTCCTCCCCCATTCCTTTCTTTGCTTCCCACTGAGTGCAGAAAACATTCACCCCATTGAAAGTTTCAGAAATGTCTTTGTGCAAATCACGTCTTGGTTAGCCCCATTGAAAGTCTCAGGGAGCAGTACCAGCATGTGGTGTAATGACTACATCGCTGTACTCTTATGTAGTTGACCATGGTTTGAGTCCCGGACCGGGTGGCTTAAATTCACACCAGGCATATGTGTGTGCATGCCCAAGATCCCAAGAGGAGAATGGAGAAGAAGTGATTGCGGCATGGCCATCCTCTCTGGGAGGTGATTTCTTGTTTTCTGTCTTTCTGATTCTCTCTGTCTCTCTGTCAAGTGCACGCTCCCTATAGCAAAAACATCTCCAAAAAAAAAGAGAGAGAGAGAGAAAGTCTCAGAGACCAGCAGATGGTATAATGGTTATATCGCTGGGCTCTCACGTGGTCAACACTGTTCAAGGTGACTTAAAAGTCATGCCAGGCACATGGGCGTGTGTGCCCAAAATCCCAGAAGGAGAGTGGAAGAGAAGGGATTGCCACACGGCCATCCCCTCTGGGGGTGTGATTTCTCACTTTCTGTCTCTTTCTGTCTCTCTAGTGAACATGCGCAAACCCTGCAGCAAAAAAATCTCTTAAAAAATTTTTTTTCAGAAATAGTTTGTCTTTGTGCAAATCACATTTTGGAAATTAAATGCGCCTATAAAGTAAACTACATCTTTCTTAGAGAGGGAAAGATGTTAATAACTAGTGACCAGTGGTTTTACTCAACTGTTTCATATGGAGGACAACTGGCTTGCTAAAATGCCACACGGTACATGTATATTTTGGTTCTAGAGACATTAAGTATTAGTAAAACATTGATCATGAGAGTAATTCACTTGCTTTGAAAATTGCTTAGTTTTGTTCAAAATTGTAACAATGGCAGAAAAAAACATCATCAGTTCTTGAGAGAGTTGGAAAATCCAGATCCTCCCAGCTCTCCTCCTCTAAGCAAAATTCCTGAAGGAAATTAATATGTTGCAGGTTGGCAAGCGGCATGGTGGCTAAGGGTGCTGGACTCCCACATGGTTGACTGCTGTTTGAGTCCTGGATCTGGCAGCTTGCTTTCTCACTTTCTCTCTCTCTGTCCCTCCCTGGTCAAATAAAAATAAATAAATAAATAAATAAATAAATAAAGTTAAGATGAAATAATTCTTTAAAAACAAACAAAAAAAGAAATGAACATGTTGTAGGGCTGGCAGGTGTCGCACTGGTCCCCCACATGGTTGACTACAGTTTGAATCCTAGACCTGGCAGCTTGCCTTCTCACTTTCCCTTTCTCTCTGGTCAAATTAATAACAACAAAAAATAAAATAAAATAGATAATTCTTTTTAAAAAATTGACATGTTGCTTCATCATACTTACTTCCATGGAATGGATCCTCGCCAACATGGAACTTTATGTTCTGTGTTGAGAATAGGTAACCCAGGATTAGGGTTCTTGGTTCCATTACCTCGCTTGAGACCTCATGGTTAGATATTCATATAGACTTGCTGGACAGTTAAAACATTCTTTTGTCTAGTTTTTGCTAAACATGATGGTGCCACCTGGGCCTGCTACCTTGTGAAGATCAAGGGAATGGTGAGGAGCAGACAATGTGAGCTAATTCTGGAAGGATTTTTGGAAATAATTTCCCAATGAGGCCCATACCAGCAGTGGCATCTGGGCTTTCAGTACATGTTTGTTTCTGACAACCATGCCTCTGTCATTCACTCTGTCTATCCTGAGAAGCTCTATAAAGAAATTTCTCGGAACCTTTTGAGCAGCCATGTCCTGATTCAAGAATGGGTAGAAGGGCCGGCAGGTAGCGTGGTGGTTAAAGGCATTGGACTGCACATGGCTGACTAAGGTTCAAGTCCTGGACCTGGTGACTTACTTTCTCTCTCTCTCTCTCTCTCTCTCTCTCTCATCAAACTGGAAAACAATAATAATAATAATAAATATAGTTAAATAAAATTATTCTAGGGACCAGCAGTTACCATAATGGCTATGTTGCTGAACTCCCATGTAGTCAACCGCAGTTTGAGTCCCGGACCCAGTGGCTTAAACTCCCACAAGGCGCATGTGTGTGCATGCCTAAGATCCTGAGAGGAGAAGGGATTGCAGTGTGGCCATCCCCCCTGGGGGTTGAGTTCTCACTTTATATCTCTCTGGCTGTCTCTCTCTTTCTGGCGAGCACACGTGTCCTATAGCAAAAACCTCAAAAAAAAAAAAAAAGATTCTAAAAGAAAAGAATGGGTAGAGTTTGGGATGGTGGTGTTTTTCCTTTTATCAAACATCCTGGGCCAGGTCTGTGGGGTACCTTCAGATATTAAATTCTTGAATTGACTACATTAGATCAGGAGCAGGCAGGTGGGTCACACACAGGAGTAAAGAATGCTGTATGGCAGGTACTGTGCTTGGTGCTTTCTGACCTATTATCTCTGTGCTCAGAACAACACTGAAGGGAAGGGATGAAAGTATTTCCATGAAGAAACCAGAGCTCAGAGAAGTTTTGAGAGTCACTTAAGGTTACCAGGGTTCTTTTTACTGCTCTCTGCTATTCCCTTGCAAGACTTGAAGGACAAATGTAGAAATATGACTTCTTAGATCTTAGACTTAGGTTTTCAAAATGCATTTGTGATATTAGCTGGGTATAGAGAGGTGGAGGGAGGGAAGAAGGAAGTAAGAATGTCATCTCCGGCCAGCAGGTGGTATGGAGGTTAAGGTAGCTGGATCCTACATGACCAACAGTGTCCCAGAGTCCTAGACCTGGTAGCTTGAAAATCATCCCGGGCATATGTACATGCAGGTCTAAAATCCTGAGAGGAAAATAGGTGAGAAGGAATTGCAGTGTAGCCATCCTCCAGGGGGAGGGGAGGTGATTTCTCACTTTCTCTTTCTTTCTCTGTCAAGCACACACACCCTTTAGCAAAACTGGAGAAAAAAAAAAAAAGAAGAAGAAGAATATCACCTCATGTAGATCAGATCATAAGATATTTCTTTGCCCTAGAATTTGGCCTAAAACGTTCAAAGAATAAAATATGTTCCCTGTGGATGGTACAGAGGGCTAGAGTATGAATGGACGTAGGTTCAGCTGACGTGCATAAGGGTGTCTGCTGAGTTTGGCTCCTGGGCAAGGCATTTTCACATGACCTGCATTCCTCACCAACTGCTCTGTAGGTTTAATGGCAGTAAACTCACATCTCAGATGTAGACCCTGGAGCCTCGAAAGAAATGACCTATATACTCATATAATTTTGTCCCTTTCCCCCAGGTATTTTTACTCAAGCTGGAAGGGAGAGGCTCTTTTCAGCCAATATTATGAAGCAGCAGCTGCAGGCTGGAAATAGAAGACACTAAGCATTCATGCAACAGTTTTTTTCTGGCTTCCATACCTCATTAGTTGGGGAAGAGAGGGACTGCCTGCACTTAGGTATTCCCCATGCATTGCATTTATCTTGTAAGGCTTTCAGTAGGTGCTGGTGAGTGAATCAGTTGTTCAGAGTATATTTTATTTTTGTTTTGTAGTCTCCTCTAAGCCATGACCTCATCCTTAACCTGACTCAGGACGGGATCAAACTGCTGTTTGATGCTTTCAATCAGAGACTTAAGGTAACTATAAATGACAAAGTTTAATGTTGGGCTGAACCAGTCTTTCTGGAGCTGATTAATATATGCTGTTGTGAGATATTTCAGAAACTCATAAGTTTTAAGCTTGGACTTTTTGTTTCAGAGACCACCACAATGTAGGGGATTGAAGTTGTGCCTGATACCCTAAAAGAGGGAAGACGGAGTGGGCTAAGTGCTTGGAAAGAGACTGGGAAGGTGCCACTGTACCACGTTCCACAGACAAAGGGAAAATAGTGTTCAGTATTTGGAAAACACCCTGTAGGGGCTTTTATGTTGAATAGGAAAACAAGGGAGGAGCTCAATATTTGGCATGGTTTGTCCTGTGTCTTATATTTTATTTTTAAAAGAATTATTTTATTTAACTATAGTTACTTATTTATTTTAATTTAACCAGAGTGTGAGAGAGAGGAAAGCAAGCTGCCAGGTCCGGGACTTGAACCATCGTTGGCCATGTGGGAGTTCAGTGCCCTTAACCACCATGCCACCTGCTGGCCCCCCAAGTCTTGTATTTAAAAGTGTACTAAAACTGGTGCCTAACTTTGGAGTAAAACCAAATGACTTTAGTCGGACTTACGTGTTTTATTTTACTTCATTCTTAGGTCAAACAGTGTGATTGAAAGATAGAAAATAGGAACTGTTTGGGGCCAGCAGGTGGTGTGGTAGTTAAGGGTGCTGGACTCCCACATGGCTGACCAAGGTTCAAGTCCTGGGCCTGGAGATTTACTTTCTCACTTTTTCTCTTTCTCTTTCTGTCTCTTTCTCGTTTTCTCCCTTTCTGGTTAAATTAAAATAAATAAAGTTAAATTTAAAAATTCTCTTTTAAAGGAAAAAAGAAAATAGGAACCGTTCTTCCTACAATCCTGGGGCTTATGGTTAACACCAGCAGCAGTGAGTTGATTCTCTAACCCTGTTGAGGGAATGTAAACAACTTGCTGATTTGTTGGGTTGACCTGATTGGCATTTCAGTGCAATTTGCAACACCTATTTCAGTCCAGGATGTTTTTAAATACACTCTATTTACAAGTGCCTGGGCCTCACAGGTTAGTCATGTGGTACCAAACTCATGCCTCAGAGTCATGAGGTTGGATGCAGGCTCTGGGCATGGCATGCCAGAGCTATTGTCTGGGTTAGGATATGAAGTAGCCTTTCTAAAAGACTTGGGTTCTTCCCAGTTCTTGTCATCCCACCACAAGTGAGCTGCTGAGAAGTGAAAACAGAACATGGGATGAGAATTCCTCATTCTATCCTGTCTCCCAATGGCCAGAAGATCCACACTAGGAGAGCCCCGAGTATGATCTTTAAGTTGTCATCATTTAATAATTATATTGCTATATCATTCACATATAATCTATATGATAAAGAGAACTCTTCAGTCTTGGCAGATTTATGCTCTGACTTATTTTTCTTTTTATTACATATTTCTGATTTTCCCAGCAGTTTCAGAAGGATTTCTGAAAATTGGGAAATTAATAGGAAAATTATTCTGGCAGCACGTTTATAGGTAGTCATTTGCGTATAATTCGGTAAAAGTCCACTTAGGAAACAAAACTCAAAAAGATCGAAGTGTGGATGATGTTGACAAGTGTTTATAGCAAGGCATTCCATAGTAATGAGAAGCTGAAAGTAACCTAAATGGACAAAAAAAAAAAAAGGGATGGCTAGGCAGCCCATAGAATTATAACATGGTGAGGAAACTATATATTGGTTTAGTGAGCACTTAGTATGTGCTAGACACATGGTGGTTTCAAAAGCATTTCATAATTTAATACTAACAAGCCTGTGAATGGTACTGTTTACCAATAAGACATCTGAGGGACAGAAGGGGTATGTGGTCTGCCTGAGTGTGTTAAATCTATGTGACTGTTGGCTAGTAGGTGACAGTGACACAAGAGGAACATCCTAGAGGCGTACTCCCAAAGTGGGTAATAGGAAACCTTTGAAGGGTCATTGGCCAGGAGGAGAGGTAGCAGTCAAGGGAGTAGAGTGCCTGTGCCTGCTATAGCAGGGCGTCCAACTGAAGGTGAAGGCCCTCTGCCAGCATGAGGCCCTGGCCTCAGTGAAAGGGCATACCAGCTTGGCATGGTGTATTGCCATGTCCAAGCATTCTGAAGGGAACACTGGCTATCTTCTGAGTCATAGCTGTTTCCCTTGCATGACCACTTCCAGACCTCTTTTCATACTTCCTTGCATGACCACTCCCAGACCTCTCTTCATACTTTGAAGCTTCATACTGTCCTTAACTAGCTTCGTACCAGGCAGACGTGCCTGACATGTTCTGAGCATCTTCCCTGTGCAACCTAGTGAGTCAGACCTTAAGGGGCTTAACTAAATGAGAGCAGTGAACAGCATACACAAGTATGGAGGAAGAGGGTCTTTCAAGTGCTGTGATGGCTCAGTATGGGGAGTGGTTTTCTATTTTATTTTGTTTTGCAGGTAGCTTCAAAGTAGCTGCATGAGAGATTTCCAACTTGGTTCAGTGTTCTGGTCTCCAACAGGGTTTCTGTCTGAAAGTAAACTATTATGTCTCAGATACTCTGCAATTCCTCACAGTCTCCTCTACATCTAGGCCCAGACATTGAGTTAGTTCTGCTTATGCCTCCATAATGAGGGCTAGACCTCCCAGCTTGAGGATAGTAGGTGATGCTTCTGGTCCCAGCCAGCCATCCTGCAGATGCCAAACCCTTGACACTCTTGCATGGAGGACTTCATAGTGGCCATTACTTGGCACCATTAATGGCCGAATGTTCAATGCCTTTTCCTTTCTTTAAAAATTTATTTAATTAATTTATTATTATTAATATGGTACAGGGTATGTGCTCACCAGAGAGAGAGAGGGAGGGAGGGAAAATGAGAGATAAGCCACCAGGTCCAGGACTTGAACCACTGTCAGCCATGTAGGAGTCTAGCGCCCTTAACCGTCACGCCACCTACCAGCCCTGGCTTTTCCTTTGTCTCTGCCCTGAGTTCTTGGCATTTCATCTAAGGCTGAATCCATTATAGAGCAAACTTCACAAGGGTCCTGAGGTCTAAGATGCATGAATACCATCACACTTTTCCTAAACTGATTTTTTTTTGGGGGGGGGGGGAGGTTTTTGGCCATTGGGCGTGTGTGCTCGCCAGACAGAGAGACAGAGAGACAGAAAGCAAGAAATCACCCCCTAGGGAGGATGGCCATGCCGCAATCCCTTTTCCTCCATTCTCCTCTCGGGATCTTGGGCAAGCACGCACACGCGCCCGGCGTGAGTTTTAAGCCACCGGGTCTGGGACTCGAACTGCGGTCGACTACATGGGAGTCCAACGACATAGTCAGTACGCTAACTGCTGGTCCCCCTAAACTGATATATTGTGGCTTGTTTTCTAGCAGGATAGACCATCCCCCTTTGTTTTGTATACAGAACAAGCTGTTTTGAAAATGACTTAATTTGAGGGTTTGTTTGTTTTAAGTTTACGTATTTACTTCTTCCATCAGAGAAATAGGCACCTCAGCAAGGTTTTCATTTTCCTGGTGTGTTCAGGGAGCCCCCAGAACTTGAACTCAGGACCTTGCCATGGTCTCAGCAGAGCATTATGTTACTACCACTGTCCAAATAACTGACTGATCTGAGTTTTTATGATGCAGCAATGTATGAGTGGAGAGAAGGGGTTTTAATATAGCCATAACCGGGGCCAGTAAGTGGCATGGTGGATAAGGGCGCTGGACTCCCACATGGCCGACCACAGTTCAAGTCTCAGACCTGGTGACTTGCTTTCTCACTTTCTCTTTCTCTCTCTCTCTTCCTCCCTCTCTCTATCTTTCTGGTCAAATTAAAAAATAAAATAAAATAAATAATTCTTTAAGAAAATAAAAGTATAGCCATAGCCTTCGCAAGTTGCATGAATTTGCTTCTGTGGAATGTGTCATTATCCTTTAGGGGTATGTGCCCAGTATCACTCACAGGTGGATTAGATGTAAAGACCTTGACCCAGAGCATCCATGGACATTTGTCAAGCAGTCCTCAGGAAGGGGAGAGATTATGGTGTTTGTTTTATAGTACCCCTTCCAATTTTTGTTTGTTTGTTTAGAAAGATTTTCTCTAGGGCCTTTGTGCTCACCAAAGAGAGAGAAAGCGAGAAATCACCCCCTAAGTGGGATGGCCACATTGCTGTCCCTTCTCCTCCATTCTTCTCCCAAGATCTTGGGCATGCAGGCACACCCACCCAGCATGAGTTTTAAGCCACCAGGTCTGGGACTCAAACCATGGTCAACTGTGTGGGAATCCAATGACATAACCATTAAGCTATCTGCTGGTCCCCTCCAATTTTAAAATGAGAACAAAAATTAATGTGCAGTGCATCAGGAGAATTTTGGCTAGTAGCAGATTTTTTTCCCTTTACTATTTATTCTGTAAAAAAAAAAAAGAAAATTCTGGTCATATTATCAATTTAAGGCCATTAGTTGCTCTTAACCATTTTTTTTTTTTTTAGGTGATTGAAGTATATGACTTGACTAAAGTAAAGTTAAAATATTGGTAAGTTTTCTTCCTTGCTGTTATATATCACGCTTGGTACAGACAGTTTTTATCTCCTTCCTTTGTGAAGTTAGAAAATTCTCATCTACAGTAGTCTAGGGATTACAGCATGGAGCCTTGATTTCCTGAGGCAACCTCCAAGCCTGTTCTTCTCCTGGGGAGAAGTAAAGCTCATCACCCCCAGTGGGGTGTGGTCACACTACAGTCCCTTCTCCATTTCTCCATCCTGTTGGAATCTTAGCATGCATGCACACAATCTTGGCATGTTTTTCAAGCCACTAGTGTGAGGAATCGAACTGAGGTCAGCCATGTGGGATCTGGCTCCTTTAACCACTTTACTCTGAGGCTGACCCTATTTAAAAGTTTTTAATTTTGTTATAATTATAGACTCATGTGCCTGTATCTTAAGAATATAACTCTTCCAGCAACCATAACCCTATGATCTATTAGCCCATCTTGTGAAGCCTACTATTAAAAAGTATTTCTGTTTTTCAGTGGAGTGCATTTTAACTCTCAGGCTATAGCTCCTACCATTGAGCAGATTGACCAGTCTTTCGGCGCAACCCATCCTGGTGGTAAGCCAAATCCATCTGATTCCTCCGTTCCTTAGTGGCAGCCCATATTGATAAGCCTGGTGGGCTGTTCTATCCCACTCACTCCCTGAAGTCAAACCCCTGGAGGATTGTGGAGTTGGTACATGACAGTAAAGGAAATCCTCTCCTTGTTTTCAACCTAGTAGGTCAGTTTAGAAACAAGACACAAAAGAAGGTGCTGCCAGCCAGTCATTACCTCTTGCCGATCTGGTTTATGTTACTGACTTCAGATGCCAGCCAACCATGTCATTTTCTTCTCCCCCACCTCTACAGTGTACAACTCTGCTGAGCAGCTCTTCCATCTCAACTTCAGAGGACTGTCTTTCTCTTTTCAGTTAGACTCATGGACCGAGGCTCCCAAGTATGAGGTTAGCCCTTCCTGTCCCCTACTTTTTGTTGCCCAGTGCCTATGTGCTCTGTATCAACAGATTGTGCCATGGCAAGGGGTGGGAAGAAAAGGATAGGCAGCCTTTTTTTGGTTGCCTTATCTTTAAGCTCTTTGGGGACAAAGTGTGTGTGTGGGGGGGGGAGGGTAGAGTGGATGGAGGAGACAGGAAGAGTAAGTCTCAGGATAGACATTCCCAGGAAGAGGGCACAGCCTCCTGCAGAGTGAGGTCAGGCTCACTTGAGAGAGAGAAATACAGTCATGCCTTACTTTAAAGCTCCTGATCACTACAGGCTTGCCAGAGGGAGAGAAAGAGAGAGAGAGAGAGCACTCTCCTAGTGGGGCATAATCACACTGCAATCCATTTCATCAATTCTCCTTCCCATCAGCATTGTGGGCATGCATGTGCACCTGTTTTCCAAGCTCCCAGGCTGGGATTTGAACTGTGGCCAGCCATGTGGGGTCCAGCTTCCAATGCACAGCACTTAACCACTGTACAATGGGACCGGCCCTTATCTTTTCTATTGCAGCATCTTAGTGCCTAAGTATCCATCTCATTATGGTTTTGATTTTATTTCTTTGATGACCAATGATGTTGAACCTCTTTATAAATGTGCTTATTGCCATTTGTGTATTCTTTGAAGAAATGTCTACCCAAATTCTTTGCCTGTTTTTAAGACCAGATTGCCTTTTTGCTGTTGAGTCGTAAGAGTTCATTATATATTATAAATACTAAATTCTTTTTTTTTTTTGAGAAGTTCTTGCTACAGGGCACATGTGCTCACCAGAAAGACAGAGAGAGACAGAGAGACAGAAAGCAAGAAATCAACCCCCAGGGGAATGGCCTCTCTGCAATCCCTTCTCCTCCATTCTCCTCTTGGAATCTTGGGCACGCACGCACGAACGCACATGCGCCCAGCGTGAATTTAAACCACCAGGTCTGGGATTTGAACCGCAGTCGGCTACATGGGAGTCCAGTGAAATAGCCATTACACCAACTGCTGGTTCCAAGTTTTCTCAGTGTCCTAGAATTTGGAGATTTAATTCTCTAGATTTTCAGTTGGCAGACATTTCATTCATCATTAGGGTTCTGAAAATGATAGCTTTTCTATAAGGCTTACCTTTTATGTAAGCATTTCTGCATTTTTATCTCATGAAATAGAATTAAAGGTGAGCTTGCATGGTTGGGGTGAGTTTATTGACCCAGAGCCAAATCTGTTTGCTTTTGACTTGGACAGTTTTGGGTTGTTTTTTAAAGAATTACTTTATTTTATTTATTATTACTAGTATAATTATTTTAATTTGACCAGAGAGAGGGAAAGTGAGAAAGCAAGCTGCCAGCTCTGAGACTCAAACTGCTTTTGGCCATGTGGAAATCCATTGCCTTAACCACTGTGCCATCTGCTGGCCCTGACTTAACTAGATCTTATAGACCATGTGTGCTAGGGAGTATAAGAGCCTGAGTTACATAACCTGCAATAAAACCCTCATTCTGTGTTTGCAGCCCAATTTTGCCCATGGCCTAGCTTCTCTCCAGATACCACACGGAGCAACTGTAAAACGAATGTACATCTACAGTGGAAACAGCCTACAGGATACCAAGTAAGTGAGGAGCATGAGGCTTTATGTTACGGCCATGGGCTTCCTGGGAAAGAGGACCAAGCCTTGCTCACTCTGTGCCTACCCCCAGGGCTCCTGTGATGCCCCTGAGCTGTTTCCTGGGCAATGTGTATGCTGAGAGTGTAGATGTTCTTCGAGATGGAACTGGACCCTCAGGTTTGCGACTTCGCCTACTTGCTGCAGGTCAGTCACTGGCTTTGAGGTGGGTGGATTTCCCCCTTATGTCCATGTTGAGACATTCCAAAGTCCATATGTTAGAGATTCATCATAGTCGATGTGGACTATTATAACAAAAGCCCAAAGTTGGGTCATTTATAAATAACAGATTTATTTTTCACAGTTCTAGAGGCTGGGAAGTCCAAGATCAAGTCTGGCATATTCGGTATCTGGTGAGGGCCTGCTTTCTAGTTCATGAACAGTGTTCTCACTGTGTCCTCACATGGTGGAAGGGGCTAACCAGCTCTCTGGGGTCTCTTTTATGAGGGCACTAATCACCATCATGAGATCACCCTCATAACCTAATTACCTCCCAGAGGTCCACCTCCTAATACCATCACCTTTGATGTTAGCATTTGAACACGAGTTTTAATGGAACATAGGCATTCAGCCCTTTGCCATATAATTCATAGAAGACAAATGATTGCAGTTGTTCATGTTATAGCTTTTGTTTGATTTTGTCAAGGGATAGGACATAGTCTTATTATTAGCAAATCTTAATAAGCAGCAGTAGCACTGTCTCTCTCAGCATACACATAAACCTGCTGTGTGCTTATGTAGCTTTGCAAGTGGTTTCCAGGTTTTTTCCTGGAGATGTGTCCAACAGGCTGCAGTGTTGTCTGCTCTTCCCGTTTCTACCTTAAATGCCAGGTGCCAAGTTGTTAGGGTAGGCAGGCAGGGGGTAGGAGGGACTCGTTGCATTGTAGTTTGGTCACATCTTGCCAAGACTTCTGCTCACCATGAAAAAAAAAAAAAAAAAAGCTCTTCCCACTTTCAGTTGCTGGTCCCTACATGCTCTATGTTTTGTTCTGTGGTTTTCTGTACCTAGCTAGTGTTAGCTGCTTTGGGCCTTGGATCATGCTTAACAGCAACAGGATCTGCAGTGAGAACACTGGAGTACATGCGCCCTCTGGCAGTTATTTATTTTTTTTAATGGGGCCAGCAGATGGCATGGAGGTTAAGGCAGCTAGGTTCTACATGGACAGCTGTGTGGTTTGAGTTCTGGGCCCAGAGGTTTGGAAAACGTACTGGATGTGTGTGCATGCATGCCCAAAATCCCCAGAGAAGAATGGAGGAATAAGGACTACAGTGTGGCCATCCCTCCCAGGATGGTACTTTCTTACTTTCTCTTTGTCTCTGCCTGTCTTCAGCAAGTGCATGTACCCTGTGGCATTAAAAAAAGAAAAAAAGGGACCAGCAGTTAGTGTAATGGTCATGTCTCTGGACTCCCATGTAGTCGACCATGGTTTGAGTCCCAGACCCGGTGGCTTAAACTCAAACCAGGCGCGTGTGCGTGCATGCCCAAGATCCCGAGAGGAGAATGGAGAAGGGATTGCGGCATTGCCATCTCCCCTGGGGGGTGATTTCTCACTTTCTACCTCTCTGTCTCTCTGTCTGGCAAGTGCACGCGCCCTATAGCAAAAACCTCTTCCCCCTCCAAAAAAAAAAGAGAGAAAGGAAGGGCCAGCAGATGGCGTAATGGTTACGTTGCTGGACCTCCCACATGGCAACCCATGTTTTGAGTCCTGGACCTGGCAGTTCAAAACTCATGCTGAGTGCATCTGTGTCCAAAATCCTGAGAGGAAAATGGAGGAGAAGGGATTGCAGTGTGGCCATCCCTCCTGAGGGGTGATTTCTCACTTTCTATCTCTCTCTCTCTCTGGCAAGCACATGTGCCCTACAGCAAAAATCTCTCTTTGGGGAAAAAAAAAAGACAATTGCATTTGAGCTGTGTTTTTTGGGGATTGCCAGAGGGAGATAGGAGAGACAAAGAAAGGAGAAGGGAGAAAGCATTTTCCTGTGGGGCATGGTCACACTCCAGACCCTTCTCCATACTTTTGGGATTTGGTGTGTATATACACATGCACTGGGCATGTTTTTCAGGCTGCCAGGACCAGAACTTGACCATGGTCACCCATGTGGAATCCAAGTCTCTTACCACTGAACCACAGAGCCAGCCCAAACTGTGGGGTTTTTTTGAGAGTTGAGCAGCAAGGCCAAGAGATTTATTGTCTGTCTTGTTAGGAGAATTACTGCTTGAAAGAGCAGGGCAGTCAACCATCAGAGCCTTTAATCATCACAGGTCATAGCAGGAGGAGCCTGCTGAGGGTATGGCTGCCATGCTGTATAGCACTCTCCCAACCGCTGTGCTGCTGACACTAAGGGCAAGGAAAACCCTTTCTTTTGAGTTAGTGCCTCACAGAGGTATCATCTAGTTCAGTCTTTACTGAGAGTGTCCTTTGGCAAGCACATGGTTCTCAGCCGACTCATTTTTCACATCTATTTCCTTGTGGAGTATGGCTTCAGCAAGGCTTTTGAACATAGGAAGTTGATTCAACTCTCTTGGTTCCTGTGATTTTTTTTTTTTTTTAAAGAATGATTTTATTTAACTTGAGGGATAGAGAAAGAGAGGGAATGTGAGAAAGTAAGCCGCCAGGTCCAGGACTTGAACCACGGTCCGCCATGTGGGAGTCCAGCGCCCTTAAGCACCACACCACCTGCCAACACCCCACCCCCCCATAATCATTTATAGGAAGATACTCACGAGAACCAAAAACTAGTCTCCTAAAGCCAAGGGTAGGCTTCAAGCAAAGTGAGATGAGAGAAGACTCCTATGTGAATGGTCCCTTCCCTGTAGCTCCATTTGGACATGTATAGGTATATGGTGCCTGAGTAAATAAATGTATTAGGCTTATGGAGACTTTGGGTCCACTGTACTCTTGGTGGGTGCTCTAGGTTGCCTAGAGCTGTGAGGTTAATGAGGCTTATACTTTCTTTTTTTTGGAGAGGTTTTTTTTACAGCGTGCGTGTGCTCACCAGAAAGAGAGGCAGAAAGCGAGAAATCACTCCCCCTAGGGGGGATGGCCACGCCGCAATCCCTTCTTCTCCATTCTCTTCTTGGGATCTTGAGCACGCACACACACGCGCCCAGCATGAGTTTAAGTCACCAGGTCTGAGACTCGAACCACAATCGACTACATGGGAATTCAGCAACATAGCCATTACGCTAACTGCTGGTCCCAGGCTTATACTTTCTTGAGGACTTCATTTAAACACAACCCTTATGGCTAGCAGGGGGCATGGAGGTTAGGGGGGCTGGATCTCACATGCTCGAGTGCATGGGTTAAGTTCTTGACCCAGTGACTTGAAAAAACACGCTGGGCACATGTGCATGTATGTCCAAAATCCCAGGAGGAGAATGGAGGAGAAGGGATTGTGGTGTGGTCATCAAAAATAATCATTTCTTTCTCTCTCTCTCTCTCTCTCTCTCTTCTCGTGAGCACACACACCTTATAGCAAAAACAAAAAATTACATAAACAAACAGATATAGCCCTTATTTGCTACTCAGTATACATGTACTAAGAATAGAGATTCTTAGGCCAGCTCCATGGCCTAGTGGTTAAGGGAGCCTGATGCTAAATTGCTAACCATTTGGTTCAAGTCCCTGGCAGCTTAAAAAATATGCTGGGTAGTTGTATATGTATGTCCAAAATCCCAAAAGGCTAGAGTAATAAAAGAAGAGATTGTAGTGTGATTATGCCCCATTGGGGGATGTTTTCTCTTTTCTTCTCTTCTCTTCTCTTCTTTTCTCTTCTCTTCTCTTCTCCCTTCTCCCTTCTCACTTCTCCCTTCTCCCTTCTCCCTTCTCCCTTCTCTCCCCTCCACGCTTCC